GGGTGAGAAAGAGGAGAAAGGGGGGGTGAGAAAGGAGGTGAGAAAGAGAAAGGAGGGGGGGAGAGAAAGGAGAGGGGGGTGAGAAAGGAGAGGGGGGTGAGAGAGAAATTAGGAGGGGGAAGAGAAATTGAAATTAGGAGGGGGGAAGAGATATTAGGAGGGGGGAAAGAGAAATTAGGAGGGGGGTGAGAAAGAGAAATTGGGAGGAGGAGAAGGAAATTGGAGCGGGAGGAGAGATTGATATTCATCACATACACACAATGCACCCCTTGCACACAGAAAAACACACAATGCATTACACACACAGACACACATACACAAGCAATGCAACCGTTACACACAATGCATCCCTTATACACACAGAAACACACAATGCATTCATTACACACACTCAATGCACCCCTTACACACATTCAATGCATCCCATACATACACAGAAACACACGTTGCAGCCCTTACACATACAAACACAATTTCACACAATGCATTCCTTACACACATATCAGGACATCCCCTACACACCCCACCCCCTGTGAACAAACTCATTGGTGGAACATGAAGGTGGACCCTGGGACCCAGACCTTGATCTGTGTAAAGGACCCCCAAAAAATGGAGCTGCTTCCAGTTCTCCCAGAACATTGATTTTTGTGACCACAGTTACAAACCGCCTCCAGAAAGCCTGTTCTGCACCAGACCAGTGGAGCCAGACTGCAGCTAGAGCCCATCATCATCCCTCATCTGGTTGTAAGTAGGCAATCTAGTATATTATTCGTGGCACTAAGCTCTAATTTACCTCACATTAAAGAAACACTATAGTCCCCAGAACCACTTCAGCTTAATGTAGTGGTTCTGGTGTCTATAGCCTGTCCTTGCAGGCCTTTTAATGTAAACACGGCGGCACTGCGGCACTGGCGTTAGTTAACATGGCAAATCATATGGGTGGGGCATTGTGATGTCACATGGGGGGGGCAGCAAACTTTACTTTTGCCTAAGGCGGCAAAAATCCTTGCACCGGCCCTGGCTGGAGGGGGCTGTGTGAGCTGTGGCCGCACAGTGCCCCATGGTAGTTAGGGTGCCGTGCGGCCAGTACAGCTCACACAAGCAAACAGCTGATAAACTGGCCGCACGGAGGAAATGTGTATTTGTGACTGTCTGCCTGTGACTGTATGTGACTGTCTGCCTGTAACTGAGTGTGTGACTGTCTGTAACTGAGTGTGTGACTGTCTGCCTGTAAATGTGTGTGTGGGGCTGCAGGGATTTTGTAGAAGGTGGCGGGGGTTTTGTATTCGGACAGGAGTCTTTACAAATTGTAAAAAAGAAAAGAAAAGAGAACCTTTAAAATTTTTTACAGGTTTTTTTTGGGGGGGGGGGGTGCCAAGCACAGGATCCGCCCCGGGTGCCAAATGCTCTAGGTACGCCCCTGAGGTGATCACAGTGACAGCCAGTCACTGTTATCACTGTTAGTATGTGTCAGCCAATGATCTCAAATCACTGGCTGACACATTGTCTCTGCCCCTCTCCTCACCTCACTTCGATCTGAGAGAGAGAGGCAGAGAGATTGTTGATTGCAGCTCCTGTGAAAGAAAGAAAGTTTTAATACTTTAAAAAAAAGTAGTTTAAAAAAAAAAAAATAATAATTTTATTTAACCCTTTCAGTGCTGATCACAGCATATTACTGTCATCAGCCTGATTAGGGCATTTAGTACTTTTGTACTATATTTAAATTTTTTTTTTTTACCCTTTGTGTCAGTCGCAGCAACCCAAATCTCCCTTAACCCTTTCCCCGCTGCTGTGATCACTATACAGTATATCTGCTGTACAGTACTGTATCAGTGATCACTGTGATCAGAGGGCTCTCTGATCAGACTGACCTTTTTTAGGGTTATTTTTATAGATCAAAAAATAACCCTTTCAGTGTACTCATTGCACCTGCCTATACTGTGATCAGTACATTTATATTATTTTTTTGAGGGCGTGTAGTAGTGACATCCT